AAACTGATATCTTTTAAACGGAGCGACGTATTACATAACCTGATATCATTCTAATTGATACAGTAATTCTTGATTTAAGCATTTAAATTTTATTTCTTGTTAGCTCCATTTATTAGTGGTATGGCTGTAAATACTATAAAATGAAAATTAGTAGATTACTCAATTTTGACGGAGCTCCGTGACCCCATTCTTGGTGTTCTAAATCCTTGGTAATTTTTATAAATATGAAGATACATTCCAATTTTTTATTTAAATTATTTTAATCTGTTGTTAAAATATTTGTTCCAAATTTGGATTAAACATGTCGTTAAATAAAAAAAAAAATAGGACAAAAGACAACAAAATTTTTGAATGACCTTTGTATAAATATATAAAGTATGTAAGAAAAATGCTATAAATATGAAAAATAAATATATGGTTAAAAATATTATTTAATGATTTGTTCCTTACTCCGCATAAATTTACAAAGCTGTGTCTTTAAAAAAGTATTATTACATTTATATCGACGAATCTTTTAAATTAGAACGAACATTAAAATGGGAAATTGACATGAAAAGTGCTGAATATGCATCCCATGGGCAGCTGACAATAAAGATTGATTTGGCAGTTGATAAAATTATTATAAAAATGGCTTAAACTCTTCTGAATTTAATGCCATTTGTCCTGAAGGAAAAAATTATTTCAATATCAATAATGTGTTCCCAGTAATTATACAACAAAGAGAACCAATTTATAAAGAATTACTTATAATAAAATTCAATTAACTGTCATATTCAGCTTTGCATGGTAAAGGGCATTCCAGATCTAATTATCCTAATATTTCAAAATGTCGAATGGTGATATGAAACATATGAAGATAACGTATAGTATTCAAGATCAAAAGTCATTAAACAATAATAATAATATTTAAAAAAGAACGTCAATCAGAATTTGACGAAATGAAAATATATCAATCAAGATATCAATGCATTAGTCGATATGTCAATGAATCAAATGACATGAACTCACTTTCTCTAAGGTGGAATCTGGTACTTTTTGAAAACGGGTTTTAGATTTATACTGATGCTAAACAGGTTAAATAGATCCTTTCGTGTGAAAAGTAAAGATCTACTTATGAATTCATTTGCAATATCAATACCTTTTAATATTCAAATAAAATATTTTTGCAACACTTTAAGTAAAGTTCCATGTTTAACTTGAGACAGAAATTAAATCTATGAAGTAAATCATATTTTCGTGACTTGCGTGAAAAAAAAAGTTTTCCGTACTGGAAATCATAGTATCACAATATTTGCCCCCCAAATCAAACATTGATGGAGATATATTTAATTAAGTTCTCAAACAGGGGAGTATATGCTGACTTCAAAGCACTGAATATTTTTTATAAGTAATGACGCCATATGTACGTAATGACGTCAAAAACATGACGTAAATTTCAGTTTTCTTATGAATTTTACAGAAAAATGTACATATTTCGTCGATATTTTGAGTGAAAGTAACCGAGCGCATGTGTGTTCAGGATCAATATTTTGATATAATGTGTAGAATGTTGATATCGATGAAATATGTCAATATTGTTCCTGAACAAACTTGCGCTCTATAAATTTTAAAGCTAAAATTGTTGAAATTTTGTCCATTTAGTCCTCTTTCTGAAAAAAGGATATAAAATTGGACTAGTTTGTGACGTCATAAAAACAAAAATTGCGAATACACTGCTTTGACCCTATAATATGTTTTGTAAATTTATATTTCTCATACAATTTATTAAATTCAGCACATTTCAGGAAGTTCTCAAAATTTGACTTTTGTGGGGGCAAATATATGCAATATACCGCATATAGTTCTTTCTATGACGATAACATTTAGTGCATGTTGCTTAACAGTTCAGTAAGTTGTAAAGAGTTATAGTTATAATTGCCTTTTCTTTTAATAATATCATAAAACCATTAAAAGGGGAAGAGGTGAACAGGGAAATGACCGAGATGTATCTCTCAGTTACAATGCCTAAAAAATTAAACCTTATTAAGCTTTTGACATTTGAAATTTGATTTCAAATTATTTGAAATACGTTTACAAATTAGTAAAGACTCTGCATTGCATATTCAATGTCGATGTTCGAACTCATTGGACGCATGCATGCATTCATATACCGGTTGTATCAAGAATTTCCTTTCCATTTTAAAATTACGGAGAAGGTATTATTTTCCGTAGGATTTCAAATGTAATATACCAAGTTTTTATTGCACCTTAATGATACTTGAAACCTTCCGACACAAAGAAATGAACTGTATCATTTAAATTGTGTTAATTTGTATAGTTACTCCATATCTATCTCTAAAATTATTTGTTAGAGTGGCCTTTTAATCTATTTACAAAGTCTCATTAACATATACACTTTTTTTTGGGGGGGGGGGGGGGGGGTTAAAACGACTGGCTTAGATTTTGTACGCATTGTGATACTGAAAACAAGAATATATGTTTTGTACGCATTGGGAGACTGAAAAAGAAGGATTTTCTTATATTTACTAGTTTAATTTGTATTATGTGTAAAAATGGAATATTTAGGTTGTTGGATTTCAGAATTTTTTCAATCAATAATTATGTATTGTTTCTATATTTGAATAACATTTGGTAAAAAGAATTAACTTAAATTAATTTGAATTAAAGAGAAGTAATTAAAGTATGCAAGTATTCAGGGCCTCTCGGAAGTAATTCAATTCAGTAAAATGAGGTACATATGGGAAAATATCAAAAATGCTTTGACACTACTGCAGACTACTGGTACGAACCTCTATATATTGATTGATTGTCAATTAACATAATATTAGAATTTGTTTTCACTTATAGGGAAACGTCACAATATATCAATGTAAGGCAACACAAGTTTATTTTTACTCGAAACTCGAGGACATTGAGCAGTGAAAAATCTTTATCGTGTCATCGGCTTTAACACAGGATATTGGTTTCTAATGGATCATGGACACACAACTTTCACTATAAGTGCTATATGACTAGGGGAGAGCTACTGTCTATTTCTGATCGACTTAGGTGAGGTCCTGACTTAGGATGATTTAAACTCAAGAACATCTTATCACTATTTGTGCTGTCTTCCGTCTGAGATACTGTGATGTTGTTAGATATGTCTATGTGGGTAAAACATGACATCATAAAATTATGAAGAATTTTTAGATTTTTTTTTATTTATACAATGTGGAAATGCATCCATTTTTCAGACGAGTTTTGTGTCTATATTACATGGTTTCAACAGTATCTACCACAAATCTGTCCAAAATTTAAAATACGTGTTATTTGAATAATGAATCTGACATTTTGAGTATTAAATGGCAATGTTTTAATGAGGTATTAAGCTGATAGTCTGTTTTAGTGAGACTAAATCTTTGGTATTTACACGATGGCCTCTGTCCGCTAAAAATTGTATTATTTAAAGAGTAAATCATAACCAAAATTTAAAATTTAATGTCATGAACACAGAAATTATGCTCTTTAGGCAAGCATTTAAAGCTTTCAATAGCATTGCTCTTTATAAAAGATCGGAATATTTTTGGACATAGTCTTGTTGATTTGTGCACGATCCACAAGGTCCAAATATGGCTAGAACCATGTCATTCTGTACGTATGGGATTGCTGTCTTTGTCATGTGGCTGCTTTTTGACATATGCCAATGTGTGAGTGTATTTTTAAAAAAACTTTTATCATTGCCATTAGTAATACTGATAGGAATTATTATAGCAGTTTTCCTTTCTTGAGAAGAGTAAAAGCAGATTATATTGGAGGATCATATACTTAAGTTTGAAAAAAAGTAATTACTTTCCTTTTAAACGTAAAATCGTCACATTGTAACATTTTTCACAAAAAGCAAGCCTCTAAAAGTCACTTTCACACATCGTTTCCGATGAAATAGAGGTGTTTTTTTTTTTTTATATAAATAACATTGTTTTTAACATTACCATTACAGTTAGTGCTTTTGTGCTCTGTTTGTGATCAGTAAGCATTGTGGCTTTTTTTTTAAAGTGAGGTTTTTTTATATTACTTATTTACAGACCTCTAATGCAATAAGGGTTTCTGCAGAGCCACAAATTAAGCCGTTATATCTTAATGTATCAGAGTGGAAGGGAGACAACGTTGTTACTATGCATGGTAGATTTCAGTGTCCATCAGACACGACAGCAGAATTTGAAGGGAAAACCATCCGTTTTGATAAAGGTACCTTGCTACTTTTCGTTTTCGTTATCTTTTTTCTGCTAAAAAGCATTGATACAAGATATCATTCACTGTTGCGATATAATTCTATATAATTATTGACTTTTAATGAGTTCTACTCCTGACTATACGGACCTGGTCAGGTATTAATTGACCGAGGCCGAAGGCCGAGGTTAATCAATGCATGACCAGGTCCGTTTGTGCCGAGTAATCGAATTCATAAGTCCATAATCGTTTTCTAAATTATCAGAAATTTTACAACACTTTTGACACTTTAGACATTGTCTCTATCAAATAAACTCTCATAATATTATGAGTATTGGAACAACACATTTTATTTATATATTTATTTTCAGTGCAATTTTCAATATGAATTCAATTAGAAATCCAACACGTTCTAATCTTCGCAAAACCTTGTCACCGCATGCTAGAATACACAGTTGTACATGTTACTATATGATTTTCTATAATCTAAGAGCACCAAAATGTACAATGCTTTGACACAATTAATCAAAAACTATAATTCCGTTAAATTAAAGCAAAATATTACAAATATGCGCTTAATTTGTATCTGTCATTTTTTTCCTCACATGTTTGTTTGCGTTATTCATGTTATTTTAGTTTGCAACGTCATTTAACGTCACAAAAGGGTCCATTAACCAGGCGAGTTTTGAAGGGCACTAAATCCACATTAAATATTTTAAAAATAGGCAATTATGAATAGGAACAGTTAGTGAATGTAAATATAAGCATTGCATTCATATTTCTAGATGTCTTCGGTTCTATAACACACATGGCCGTGCCGACAAATTATCATACTGCGCTAACACCCGGTTTTCAATGTGTCGGCACGCCCAGTAACAGCTGAAATGTAACAACTAGGTTAAAATGGAGAACAGTATTATCAAAGAACAAATACGCAACCATAAACTATTAAAATAGTTTAATAATCGACTAAGGATTGGCGTCTTCAATCTTTATCTTCACAAAAACTCATATTGTTAAACACGCAATTTGATTGGTTGAAAAGTCTTTAAGCAAATCTATAGTTGTTGCAAGAGGGAGAATGCGAATAAATCATTCGATTTTTCATTTGAAGTGTGCGATATCTGAGGTAAATTTCAAGAAAGGGCGTCTAGACCAGTCAGAAATCAATAACATTCCTATTTATTTGATATACCATAATGATACACTGTCTTTATAACATATTCTTTAGTGATACACTGTTTAATTTATATTTTCTTTAGTTATACACGGTTTATGTTGTTTTTTCTTTGTTGATACATGTACATTTTTTCCCCCCAAATTTTCTTTGGTGAAATACTGTTTATATCCCATTTTCCCTAGTGATACCCTTTTTTATACTATTCTGTTTATATGTTTTTCTTTGGCAGTATACCAATTTAACATACTGATGATAATGATAAACATTTGTTTCTCAAAATATAGGACTAATCTTTATCAGTGATTTTACGAAAGGTGACATAAAAAGGGACTTAATGGCAAAAAACTTCAAATCTCCTAACTTGAAAAAAAAAAATGACAAAGTAAAATGAATGCCGCTTTAAAGTGATTTCATTTTTATTACAAATCTCTCATTTTTTGTTCATATGAATTTTATTTTAGCTACTTCAATTCATTAATTAAATCGTATACATCTTAGATACAAAAGTAATATATATTTTAATTTATAGTTAAAAAAGAGGTTTTTCATTTTAAGGTCACCTTAGTAAATTGTTGTCTTCATCCTTCGCAATGTAACATGTGCTATGCTTCATGTGCTTCACATTCAAACATTTTTGCAGCTTCTTCTCTGCAATGCTCAGGCAATTTTAGCCATTTTTGGCATAAAGCATCTATTAGTGAAGGGGAACAAAAATTGTAAATTTTATGGTCTTTATCACCCCCAGCCTTGAGCCTGAGGGGTGGGCCCAAAACCAGTAGAATTAATGCAATCTTTATAAATCTTTTTTTACTAATAGATATCACGCCGTTAAACTGTAGGCCTGATTGTTTTAAACAAAGTTTCATTCAAAATTGTGAAAAACCATGGTCCCAAGCTTAGAGGTCCTGGTTCTAAGGTGGATCCGCAAAAATTATAAAATGCATTGATTTTTGAAACATCTCTTTCTCTGTCTCTTCCCCTTTTTATAAACAGGCTAAATGCAACAAATAGTTATGAAAGAGGGAGTCTCTTCTAAAATTGTAAAAAAAAAAAACCCATGGTCTCTTGGTCAGAGGGTTCTTATGTAAAGGTGCAGCTATTTCAATTATATAGTTAAAATGCATTAATTCTTTGAAAATCTTCTCTGCTTCTTGGTACTCGTATCAACAAACCATTTGCATAAATCTCAATGATGAGCATGAACTCCTCTTTCAAAATTGTGAATTTCATATCTCCTGGATGAGGGGTTCTTGTGTTAAGACAAGCTATATGCATGTAAAGTATATAGTGAAAAAACACCAATTCTCTGAAAATTTTCGTTTCTATTCCTGAGTATTATATTGTAATAAGATGAACTACCTATATGATAATTGATCAAAAAGGCTACATCTCTCAGAATTGTGAATTTCAAGAAAAGTCAGGTCTGTGTAAGGGAGTATCATAAAGGGGAGACCTCATTATATTCTGAAAATGAAGTACAGCTTTGAAATCTGCTCTCTGGTATAAATCAAACATTAAGGATTAACAAAGACGGTTCCAAAATTTGAAAAAGGGTCAGAGGTTGCTTTGAAGTGGGGGTTCTACAAATCATTGGTGGTTTATAAATACTTTTCAGTTGAAATGTATTTCTTTTGTTTCCTAAAATATGACTGTGGGCATTAAGAAGCCAGACCTAAGCATTCTAAGTGTATAGTAATGATGAGCAAAGAGCCCTTATCAAAATCATGAATACCATGGCCTCTGATGTAAAACACGAACCAATTTCATTAAACTGGAAATTTTATACATAATGCTCAGGTGACCTCTAAAGCCCATACCTCTGTTTTTTGGTTGTTGTTGTGTTTTTGTTTTTTTTTTTTTTGTTTTTTTTTTTGTTTGTTTTGTTTTGTTTTTTGTTTTCTTTTTTTTTTGCAATAAGTTTATGCATATCTGGTTTAATTAAAAACTCGGATGTTTTTTTTTTAAATTTTAGTTTCGGACTCAAACGATGGTTCATCAAACTTCGAAATGGTTCTGTATGACGACCGATGGGGCTGGTTGCCCCGTCTTACGTTGAAGTCAAAATCTGCTTTAGAAGAAATGCACATTTATTTGAGTGATGTAGTAGACGACTCTGTACAGACAAGTTTCTTGGGAAGAAACTGTTTAGTTGGAATCAACAGGTCATCTGAAAAGCAATCTATAACCTACACTTCCGTCATACAGAGCTGTAACAGTGCTTCGATTATCGAGAAGTTCAACATTGGACTAAATAAGTCTGGAGAGATTATAAGGCTCGATTCAGATGTATACTGCTATGGATCAAATGAAAAATATGGAAAGTATTTCAAGTCGACGTGTTCTATGTATGTATCCGACGATCCGTTGTACATTACATTTTACGAAGATAAAATGGCTGCTGACAACATTGAGCTGTACTATCTCACGTACCACTTCGAACCCATTGGGCCTTGTAGCCACAACTGTATTGCGGATATTAAAAGATGGTTTTTCTCAGTCGTTTAATTTCAGGAGATATCATTTACTGATATAATCACATATTCTTAGGGGTCATTTTTCATGTGTTATTTTTTTCTTAAAGCACATACTTTTGTTTTTGGGGTTGATCCCACTAATGATAATTTCTTCGTGTAATATATATTCCATTTTGTATTTCTTGGTGGACATGAATTCGGACGTCTTTTAACTTGAAAGCAACAAAAAGTAACCCCGAAGAAAATGAAAAAAATGTTATAGTAATAAAAACTGACGAGAAAATGAATTAAAATTGCACAAAAAGTTTTGTTGTTGTTTTATTCTATTTATATTTTTAGGGGGTGGGATAGGGGTGGATGGTTCGGGGGTAGGGGTTGTGGTGGTGTTTTAAAAAAAAAAAGAAAGTGGGATTCATATGAGTTTAGAGACTGTACATGTCATGGATGAGTTTGTGAATGATACGGTTAATTCAGATGTAAAAATAAAGAATAAAAAGGACGGAAACCTTAGACAATAATAGAAAAAAAACATATTAAGGAAAGGAAACTAAAGATGAGTTTGCCAAAGACAAACTTTATTACCAATTTACAGCGATCGGATCTGATATCAAGTTTATTATAAGGGACCGTCTTTTATTTTCACGGGTTAACTGTGCTTTTTAAAAATTGGTGAAAGTGTTTGCCAATCACAAATATTTCTTTAATGAAATAAAGGGGAAACACTTAAACACACTTGTGCGTATCTGTCATATTATGTTATATTTAAGTGCGGCGACTACCTTAAACGCAAATTGTTTAAAATCCGATATTTTGAAAAGTATTCATCATATTCCTTTGAATTTTTTAGGGTCTGATTTGAAGCAAATAAAGCTTCTATCAGGTATAAATTTTGTTGTTTTTTTTTTGTCTATTTATAGCAATTTAATCAAAGTTGTGACATAACTTTTGGATCAGCCGTCTGATGTGTTAAAACTTAATCATTTCATAAGCTAATCCAATAGTTTAAAACATTTAACACTTACATAATGTATGTCTAACGGTTATTTCATCTGAAGTAAAAATGTTAAAAAAAGAAGATATTTTCCTATCTTTTCTGAGTAAATTTTTACATAAAACCATTATGAACAAACCGTTTCCCAAGAGTCGTGATTTGAAGAATTTTGAAACTTCACTTTCTGAGGATACATGTACATCAATGCCAACATATTAATCAATTATGACTTTCTAAGCTATGTAGGGACCGATATGGAGAATGTGACCTTTGCACCGTTTTAAAAAAAATTAACAAAGCTACTGAATATCCGTAGAAAATGTAATATAGATATCCATATTGGATAGGACTTGGCCGTACACAGTACCAGTTATATCGTATTTATCAGCTGTCTGTCACGTGACTTGTTTGAAAATAGAATTGGTTAGCTTAATGCAGGAAATGAGGGTAGTTCAAGGGCAGACGCTTGTTTTTCAAGAAAAAAATGCTTCAAAATGCTACTAGATGAATTCACAATTTATACAAATCGTATTTAATAAATTATTTATTTTTAGTTTTACTGATTACTTTAAAAAATAAGAGATGCTATTATATTTATTTCAGCATTTTTGTAAAAATAAAACTAGTGAATCTAGTCCTCTGGATCTCCTGTGCTGCGTTATTTATAGGCTGATGACGTCATATTCAAGGAGAGACTTTCTATAGAGATATATTCTAATGTAAAATTTTGACCATTTGAAGGGCCGTACCTACACCCTAGGAACACAATTTTAACAAACAAAAATCTACACTTTCTATGGACGTTCCAATGTACATTTCATCTTCCCTTGACCGATGAATCAGGAGATGGCGATTTTAAATATTTTGGAACTGGAGTACCATGGAAAAAATTGATCGTCCATTATGGCCTCACCATTATTGCGGGTGTCATGATTTTGAACAATCTTGAATCATTCTATCGTAGCTTAGGATGTTAAAATAAAAGTTTTACTTTCTGGTCCACTGGTTTTCGAGAAGATTATTAGACTTTTAAAATGAATTACCATGGAAAAATGTTTTGTTTACTCTGGACCCATTCAACACCCGTGGGTCATGATTTGAACAACTTGAATCTAAATTACATAATAAGGTATCTACGTCAGTTTCAATTCTCTTGGTCCATTTCTTATGGAGAGGAAAGTTATTGAATATGATTTTATTTTAATTTTTTTGTTATTGTCTTCCCTTGGAAGGAGGTGTTGCACTTTATTTGAAAAAAAGAACGAAGTCCCTTTACATAAGGTTAGTCTGCGGTAAATTTGCTTAAAACTGACCCAGTGAATCTTGAAAAGAAGTCGAAAATATGAAAAGTTTGCGCTGCAAGGAGCATAACAGAACAGCTGCACCACGACAGACGAAAACAGACACAATAAGTTGCATGTTTCTGAATGACCATGGTTATCTAATATATCCCTAGATTTTTTTATATTCCTCAGAAAAAAATTAAGTTTTCGTTATATCTTTGTTTATCAAATATTTATTTCTTTTTTTTGCCTCCATAACATTTCCTAATTGGTTTTGAATATGTCTTTTCAGTATATCACAAATTAGAATCTTACAGGAGAAAACATTGTATAAACATTTATTAAAAATATTTATTCATGATGATATACGGAAATTAAGTTAAGGTTACCGTAAGGAGGCGGGGCGTAATTTGTACGGGAAATGTTCAAAGGGCCATTTTTACATGTTCTTTTAACCGCATACATGTAATTATGTTAAAGGAATTGATTTCACTAATGATATTTTTTTCGTGTAATATATTAAATCATGTCATTTTGCATTTCTTGGTGGGTATATGAATACTGACGTGTCTCTTGAAAGCAATTAAACCCCAAAGAAAATGAGAGAGGTTACAGTATCAAAAACTGAAGAGATAAAAAAATAAAAGAAAAAGGAGAAAAAAACTGTTTTTTTTTTATTTTAACTTTATTTATTTTTAAGAAAGAAATGTGAATTATACAGTCCCTGAAACGTTCTACTTTCCCAATTTTCCGTTCGCTCACCGTTCGTTCACCGTTCGTTCAGCGTTCGTTCACCGTTCGTTCAGCGTGCGTTCACCGTTCGCTCTTCGTTCACACTATTGCGTTCACCGTTCACCGTGCGCTCGCGTTCACCGTTCACAAAACGTTCACCGTTCGCTCTTCGTTCCGTTTACTTTGCGTTCACCTTGCGTTTACCGTTCACTTATCGTTCAGTCTTCATTGTCATTCGGAACTCCGAAGTGAAAGGACTTATCTTTTTGATGGTAAGGATTTGCATGTTTTTTAATTAAATAACTTAGATATCGTGTTTGAAGAATAATTATTTCATTGCAAAAATTATCTATGATATTTATATTTCTATTATTATAACTCAGCTGTTACTTATTTAATGAATATTCCCTGGAAAATAATTAATACATTAAATACCTACATGTATGTAGAACGATGCTAAAATATTAAATTAAAAAAAGGGCAATGTACAAATGCTTCACGCACGGCATCAATTTAATGTAATTTTAAAGAGGACAAATTATTAATGGATGTATAATAATTAATCCAAGTCTTTTACAGGACCGTAATACATAAAAAAATTATTTCTACAGTAACACGTATTTAAACGACATGTAGTATGAACAGTGCTGCAAATATTCAGTTAATAAAATATCTTTAGAGCTAATTAAATTGATGGTGTGGTTTTAAATTTTAGAAAAGACCAACTGTTTAAAATAGTCTATTATTAGAGAATAAAAAATTCCTTCCTTCACCGTACCTAAACATATGTTTAAAAATATGTTTTTTGCCATTCAGTATAATTAAGCTCACCCCCCCCCCCCCCCCCGGTGCCTTTTCTCCCGAAATAAAATTCTTATTGAGTTTTTTCAGTATTTTTAATTAATATTTATTTTTTATTGTAACACAAGAAAACCAGTCTTAAAACCAACATCAAACAGTCATTAAACAATAGTATTTTAGTATAAACTTGTGCCGACAGTAGTATTTTAAATTGGCAGGGAATATGTTTCACATTCAATTTAAAACTTAATCCTTCTAAGTATATATTCGAATTATTTTTTTTTCCTGCAGGAATGCAAAAATCATATCTAGAAATGATAGGGAAAAATATTGAAATTTCTTGGAACACTAAGTGACTCTCTGCATTCGGCATGTTCGGTGAAATGCGATTTCCACACCTCCACTGTGTCGGATTATTTTGATTGACAGCACAAGCACGCTACTACAAATATAGCACGGACTTTCTGTGAACTGTGTGAACTTGATGATGGAAAATAAAAGCCAATGATTACGGTCAAATGGATTTGTTAATCTAAAAAAAAAAGATTACCTTTATTGCTTGGAATATTTAGAAAAAAAATAATAATAATTTTTATTTGATATAACATACATCTGAGAACCGAGGGGGTTATCTCTCTCTTATTCTCTCTCTCTCTCTCTCTCTCTCTCTCTCTCTCTCTCGTACATTTATCTGTTCAATAAAAACTATGACAACACATTACTTATTTAGTTTTCAATATTTAATCTACACATGTATTACAAATAATTTGAATGCCTCTTTCCAACATCTTGACCGAGTATTATCACGGCCGGGAAATGTCTACAGATACATGAAGAAGTTCGCTAAAATAATCGTCATAAAAGAATAAAAAGGTACATAAATATAGAATATTTTGCAGTAGAATTTAAATAAAACAAGAATTATTATGCAGTACGATAACAGTCAATGTCAACAGATAATTGTGAAATTTTAAAAAAATCCGTTATTTTACTCAGAATCGCTTTGGCACGGAAATACATGTACGGTTGTTTCAACTCCGTACAATGTAATTAATTCATTCTATATGTAGTAGTTTTATCTTCAGAAGTTCACATTACTTTATTAGTGAAAAGAATAGCATAATTATTTACTATATAAGTAGATTAATTCATTTTTTAAGTACACGCGGTAACAAATACACGTTTGACGGCCATTAAAATCATGTTATTAAAATATCGATTTAAACACAGGTATGTGCAGAAAAAAAATGTTTTTATTTATTTATTTATTTATTTGTTTATTGTTTATCTCAGTATAGTTTTATCTTCTAAAGTTCACATTATTTTATTAGTTAAAAGAATAAGCATAATTATTTACTACATAAGATTAATTTATTTTTTAGGTACACGCGGTAACAAATACACTTTTGAGGGCGATTAAAATCATGTTATTAAAATATCGATTTAAACATACGTATGTGCAGAATTTTTTTTATTATTATTTATTTATTTTTCTAT